CTCTCTCTCTCTCTCTCTCTCTCTCTCTCTCTCTCTCTCTCTCTCTCTCTCTCTCTCTCTCTCTCTCTCTCAACTGCAACAGAGAGAGATCGAAATCCACCAGAAGCTCGTCAGAAGAGAAGCCTAAAAATGGCGGGAAAAAAAAGGGCAAACGCGCGGGAAAAGCCACAGCTTGATGCCCCGCCTGTGATCAGATTCAGATCTCGCCATCCTCCTCTTTCTCCAACATCTCGACATTGGCTTCGGCCTCGACGGGGACTTGGTCCTCTTCGGCCAAGGGTTCTTCCGCGTAGTCGTTCTCGAATGCATCTGCTGGCACCTCGTAGATTCGGATGACCTGCTTGTTGGGGTCTTTAACAATAAGGTACTTGCCTTCATTGAGCTTCATGCACATGTCCACAAGGTACTTGAGGATACCCCACATGTTATTGACGCTGAGGTTGATCTGCATTGCAAAGTCTTTCGGTTTGTACCCCTGGATCCCCAGAATGACATGGTTGTACTTGTCCTTGGGATGAACCCGGGAGACGTAGCCCAGCTTCATCTGCTCCGCGCCGGCGAGGAGCGCCTGCGTAGTCCACCTTGCCAGCTTGTTGGCGTTGTTCTTCAGCTCGGTCGCCAGCACGGCTCCCCTCTGGTTCTCTAGCTTCTGCCGCCAGTCAACGCCCGACGCCTTCGAGTCAAACTCGGTCAACGCTTTGACTGTGAGCAGCACCTCCTGGCCCTTGACTTCACTCACGGCATCCAGCTCACACCGAGCCACTAGCGTGATGTCGTTGTCCAGCTTCCACTTGCGATAGCGATAGGCGGCGGAGGCCACGTCGTCCTCCGGCGCTGCAAACGGATTAGGCTCCTCGAAAGTGAATCGTCTGCCATCCTTGAGCAGCGCTTGTTGGGAGAAGTTCTGGTTGATGAAGGTAGCCTCCTCGCTGAGCGCATTCACAGAGTTGATGCTGTCCTTGTCTTCAGGAGGCGGCTCTTGCGAGGTCTCGTTGACTGTGAGTAGATCGAAGACGCCATCGCGCTTGTCGAAAAACAGCTTGGTGCCCACGCGCTGGACCACCACGTCCCACGAGTACACAGATCGCGTCGCGCACATCAAGGTGGACAATATCGCGTCGGTGGCAAACACGCTGCCGATGTCCTCGCTGGCCAGCCGTCGGATGATGGGATCGTCGGTGGTGGTCACGCGGAAGAACTGCTTGTTCTCCGCCCTCTCGAGGGAGCGCTCCGTCTTCGGCGTGATCCTGTCCATCGACTTGTCGTAGTACTCTAGGGCGCCGCAGGTTGTGATATCCTCGGCCTCGCCGACGGCCTGGCTCAGCTTGGTGAAGGCCGTGAAGGGGATCTGCTCCAGCATCGTCCACTCCGGGCGGATGTCCACCGAGCTTGCGAACACCGCGCGCGGCTGGTCCCTGTTCTGCCAATAAGCGTTCCACTGGCCGCGGCGGAGCTGCTGTGCGCGCTCGCGCCGGTGCCTCTCCCTCTCCGTCGCCGTGTCGCGCCCCCCGTCCCTCCTTCCGTCATCGCGATCCCGACGCTGGAACCTCTGGAACCGCCGGGGTCCGTACCTCGGCCGAGGCGGCGGCCTCGTATCCACCAGGTGGAACGACTCCTCGTCGTCGGCGTAGAAAAAGTTGAAGTACGCGTTCACCCCGCCCGGTCCGCCGCCTCGGTCGCCGAACCGCCCGCGGAACGCGGAGCTAGTCCAGTCCGATGCTCGCCCTAGTCTGTCCCCTTTGCTGAAAGGCGCGTACGGCACGTCCTTGTACTGCTCCGGTATGTTCGTCGGACCCCACCCATCTTCGTTATACGGAATATTCGGTACCTTAAATTGCGCCGGCATCTCTGTGTGTGTGTGTGTGTGTGTGTGTGTGTGTGTCTCACACGCTCATCTCGCAAATGCACGCCTCGGACCCGATGGACAGTCCAACGAATAGCAAGAAAAACCCTAAAAAAACAAGAAACAAGAAAGGGAAGACGAGCGAATTCCCATCAATCAAATCAATCAAATCAATCAAATCAATCAAATTAATCAAGCATATCAATGAAATCTCAAATTTTTCTCAGTAAACGGCGTAACGAAGGATCGAGCTGCAAGAGAGAGGACAGAACCATCAGTGAAACTTCGGCAGCAGAAAAACGCCAAACCTGACCACGCGGACATGATGATAAACAGATCATTCACTGAAACAACGTCCTCCACCGGTAAACGAAGATTCCTTCTCGTTTCTTCCTTCGTCCATTCATTCAATTCGTATTCATTTTCATTTAATGAATGAATATGGCCGTGTATCTTTCACTCATTCATTCATTCACTGAATTCATTCATTCATTGAATCCATTCATTCATTCATTAATCTACATCAGACCTCGATGAGGTCATCATTCGACTGGGCGGTGTGGAAACAGTCAGCGAGTCAAACGTCAGGTCGCATACTTGGGCGTGCTCCTACCCTTCCGCCGCCAACGCGATCCCGACTTCTCCGAAGCGGAGAGATGACTTAAAATAACGGTTTCGGGCGCAAAAATAATAATAATAAAAATAATAATAAAATTAAAAATTAAAAAAATAAAAATAAATAAGTAAATAAAAATAAATAAATAAATAAATCAGTTGGATGTCAGCATGAGATGGGAAGAGGAAGAAAGAAAGGTGGGGGTTGGAGTTGGGAGAGTAGGGAAGTGGGGGAAGTGGGGCGACGATCTCTCTTTCCCTCCTCTCTTTCTTCCTCCTCTTTCTCCCTTCCTCTCTCTCCTTCCTCTGCCTCCCTCCTCTTCCTCTCCTTTCTCTCCCTCCTCTTTCTCTCCCTACTCTTTTTCCTTCTCCTCTGTCTCATCTTCTCCTCTCTCCCCTCCTCTTTTGCGTCTCTTTCTTCTACATTTTATATGGGGAAAGGAAAAACACATCGGCATCTATATACTTAATTTAAAAAAAAAAAAACTTCGGCCGCCAAAAGGATTGACTTTTAACGAAGCTGGCTCACGGATGTGTCCTCAATTCACATTATCGCACTTCGCTGCGCCTTTCGTTTTTTTGTTTTTTTTTCTGTTTTTTCTGTTTTTTTCTTCTTTTTTCTTCTTTTTTTTCTGTTTTTTTTCTGTTTTTTTTTCTGTTTTTTTTCTGTTTTCTTTCTGTTTTTTTTTCTKTTTTTTTTYTKTTTYTTTTTYTKTTTTTTTTTYTKTTTTTTTTTCTGTTTTTTTTTCTGTTTTTTTTTYYKKTTTTTTTTYYKKTTTTTTTTCTGTTTTTTTTTCTGTTTTTTTTTTTTTTGACCTTGGGAGAGCGGAAGTGTGGGTTCGTCAAAATTGCTGCCTTTTTAATTGTCTCCTCCTCTCTCTCTCTCTCTCTCTCTCTCCTCCTGCGCATTTTTTTCGCTTTTTTATCGTTGTGTGTCGGTCTGCCAAAATATCTGCCTTCTTAACCGCCTCCCCTCCTCTCTCTCTCTTCCTTTACTGTTTCCCCTCTCTCTCTCTCTCTTTCCTTGTTTCCACTCCTCTCGCTAGCTCTTCCTCTTAGCGGGCAAGAAACAACATAACACAAGATATATATACATAACACAATATATTGTCACATTGTGAATCAGAGCGCAAAAAAGGGGAAAGAAAAAGGAAAAGGAAAAAAGGGGGAGGGGGAAGAGGTAAGGAAAGCTCCACC